TTTGTTTGATTACAAAAATCAAACTCGAAGTAATAAATAAATAAATAAAATCACAGATTTTATTTTGTTACAAAAACAAAAATAAAATCTGATTAAATAAACAAATAAAAACAGAATAAAATTAAACAACTTACTTGGTTAATTTATTTGAATAACTTTTCTAATCAAGTCCAGTGTTTAACACTGTATCCTTAAGACAGATTCGTCCTCTCCATGGTGCTTTCAGAATTTGGATGTCTATCTCCCAGGATAAAATGATCTTATCAACGAATAAAAGCAGCACTACAATTTAATCGTTCGTCGAACACACACAGTGTTTACACTTTTTCTTTCAGAAATAAAATGCAGCAAAATGCAGAGATTTGAAGCAGAGGATGGAGTACGAAAATTGGAGTGAAATCCAAATGGGAGGCTAGTCTATTTATAGATGTAAAGGTGGCTCTTGGTTTTGAATTGAACAGATATGAAAACTGTTAGTTTCAAATTTAAACAGATTTGAATCTGTTGGGTTAATAATTCAAATAGATAAAAAATGGGAAGGGCTCTGTTTGGATGAACAGTAAATCCAAACCAGTTTAATTTGAATTCTGGTTTTATTTTAACAAAAATAAAATTAAATTCAAATATTTTTTGCCCAAAAAGATTAGTATTTGGCCGAACAAACCCGTTTCCAACCACGCATCCAGCCCGCCCGACCGGTGGCGGCGGCGCGCGCATGTGTGGTGATTTTTGGGTCCAATGGGTGTAGCCCATAACCTCTCCCTCTAAAACACTTGGGTACCCCTTGGGACACATCCCAAGTATCTAACCCAAGCCTTATAAACTCTTTCAAAACTTCCCACCAAATCAATGTGGGACAAGCCAATTTACAACCTTACGGAATTTCTACCAAAACTCTATTTCCATGGAGCACACTTTGGCTTCAATTTCTCATTCACTCGGTAATGGTTTTGAGCAACCAAATATATCACGTGAATCACAACGCGGCATAGAACGCGTTACCACTTTGACCCGAGTAAATCGACACTCGGGACCCACCTAAAAAATAGACCAAACTTGAGAAAAAATTCTGATTTTACCCAGAATTTTTCTACAATTTCCAACAATAAATGCTAAAACAGAATAAATAATCCACCAATTACTACACGCTATGCAGACTCTGTACATCTATTTACTTTCACTCAAGATCTCAATTTCTAGTAACGAGAAAAAAATAACATTATAAATGAAACTTTTTTTTGGGTATAATTCTGATATACACAAAGAGTTATATTAAGCATAAGAATAAATTTGTATCATGCACAAAGGATAGTTGTACCATCATAAAAATATATTATTTTTTTTCCACAGTTCTATTGAAATGTAATTTTTCCTAGTATAAATGTCTAAATGAAAAAAAAAAATAAATAAAAATTGGTCAATTTTGTCAAAGAATATTGAACAACAAAAATTGTGGATGGAGAAATATATTTTAAAAAATCTAATTATATTTTTTTGTTTTTTTAAATTTCCATTAACAAATCTCTCACAATAATTGAAGGTCCAAATAAGATTTTATTTTATTTTATTTTATTTTATTTCCCTTCTTTAATCTTCTTGGTTGGTGCAATGATTCTTCACTAGGAGATTTTAAATTATTATTTTCATCAAGGAGGAAACAACTTAATGACAAAATTGACATTGGAACCGTCATTAAGGCCAAGTTTGACGACTCCAATATATTCTATTTTTTTTATTTTTTTATCTTTTTTTTATCACATTATCTCTCTACTTTTCTGTACATCTTTTCGTAAAAAGATAAAAAGTACACTTATTTAAGTCATCCCAAACAACCCCTAAGAAGAGAATCCTTATTAAACTTTTAGGCTCTATAGTCTGATGTATTAGCATGCGTCACTCTTGTATACAATGTAGCTTTCGAAAAACAGTTGTGATAAGGACCTCCAGCACCCAAACACTCGCCGCCGCCTTGTGAGAGAGGGGGAGAGAAGGGGTTGTTTAAAGAGTTCTAAATAAATGTATTTTTTATCTTTTTAGAATAAAAAGTTAAGAAAAAAAATATTGATGTTTAGGTTAATTTTTTGATTTTTTTTTGAAAAAATATGTACTAAAAAATTATATAAAAAAGTGTGTAGGAAAAAATAGTGTAGTACGCTATACAAATTGGCAATGCAGGCGGCTTGGTGAATACATAAGAAAATATTGCCTCTTTTTTGGGCTTTGATTGACGGTGTTGTTCGGCACATAGAGGCCCACCACGGGTCCCTTTTTCTAATCGAAACCATTCAATGTGTACAACTCGTCGATTATTATATGTTTGTAAAAAATCACGTTGATTAGATATCGATAACTATCTGATCGTATTAGTTTTTTTTGTCAACTGTTAACTATAGCACCATTCAATTTTTATACAAAACTAATTTGATCATGTAGTTAAGGATATCCGATAGACGTGATTTTTTACAGGCATATAGTACTAGACGAGTTCTACATTTTCAACGGTTCAGATTATCAAAACGGGACTCATAGTGGGCCCCCACAGGCCCAACTTTACCATCTAACTTAGTAAATGTACACATGCAATTTTTTTTTCCCCTTTCACTGAAGCTGCCCTGACCAGTACATTGATGGGCTAAAAAGTTGATTTGTATTTAATATTTGTATATTAATTTTTTTATATTTTTTTTTAATGAATAGTGATAACTTTTTAACTTTTTTTTTTTTTTTTTTTTTAATCAACCGTCGTAGGACCCTCCCAGTTTGTGTCACTTTTGGCTTAAGAGTTGTTTGGGATGACCTAAATAAGTGCACTTCTTGTCTTTTTACGAATAGATGTATAGAAAAGTAGAGAGATAATGTGATAGAAGAAAGATAAAAAGATAAAAAATGCGTACTTATTTTGAGTAGCCAAACTTGACCTTAGTGGTTGTGGTAGCTCTTCTTTTTTTGATTCAAGCTTGTGGTGGCTCTTCAAAATGCAAAACAGCAGACTCCTATTAGCTTACTGGAACAAGAATAAAATTAAATGAATATTTTATTACAATATTCATTGTTATATTTAATTTATTTAATAAAAAGACGTGTTAAAAATATTTTTAAAAAAAATTATTTTTCACATTAATTATTTTATTATTTAATTAAAACATCAATCAAATAAATCTGTGTCAACTGCTTTATTTCTTCTCCAATATCTTTCAATGGCCCCGTATTATAGAGCTGTGAAAAAGTATTATAACTTATAATCTAATAATTTATAACTTATACATGTGAACATAAGCTGATTTTTGACTTATAAATTAAGCTTGTCCTCCCCCACTCAAAGAATAAGTTGATTTTTGACTTACAAAAAGCTATAAGCTGTATTGTTAAACTGAATCAAACACATCAAAATAACTTAAATTAAGTTAAAAGCTGAAATAAACTGGAAATAAGCCCTACCAAACAGGACCAATGACCATTGAAACTTTATTTAATTGACTGGATCATTATTTCACAATCACTCACTCCTTACTAGATGCCCAAAAACCATTTTGGGAACATAGCAAAAACTCACGTTTTTGGACAAAATATCCAAAAACTCCAAAAACGCAAGTGTCAAAAACGCCAAAAAATTGGTTTGGCAAGTGCTAAAAACGCAGGTGTAAAATTACAAATTAAGGCCTATGAAAAAAAAAAAATAAATTTCTTATGTTGAGTAAGAGTATTTTGGTCATTTTAATTTTATTTGACATCATAAATAAATATTAAACTAAAAAGCAAAAAACTAATTTTTTACCAACTTCACAAATCACTTTCCAAAAAACTAAAAAACTTGGTAAAAAATCAAAAATCAACTTTTCAAAACACCCCTAGATTCATTGCATTTAAATCCTAATAAAAGTTTACGCAATGACTGCACCAAGTGGTCAAGATACTTTATCCTTAAATTTATGATTTTTATTTATTTATTTTTTTAGTTCATTATTAACGGTATGTTACCATAAAATTTTTGAGATATGATTTCAATGCACTTATTATCAATACCATATAACAAAAATTTTGAAACATCAGAAACTTAGGACATTATTCATATAAAAGTGTGTGGAATTTTTTTTATTATAATAATTCAGAATATCTATCACTCAGTCCAATCCTATTAAGCTTGAATTATCTTGCATCTAAACCGTCGATAACTAAATTTGGCAACAGAGTAGCGACATTTAATCAATATTGGCACTATGTGGAAAACCATGAAATCTACCAATTCAATATTCTAAAAGATGTGCACTGAACTAGGAAATTTGTTTCCTGGCGTGGTTTTCAAAACAAAGCATACATTGATTTCAATTACCAAAGGGACTGTACTTGGTTGAGCATTTTTTTAAGAAATCAATTGTCTATGGTTTTCCTAGATAAGAAATCATAAGCTTACCTTCAAGGCTCAAAACCACAACATCATCCCTTCACCACCAGCCCCGCAATTGCTCCCTTAGCAATTTCTCAACCTAGATGTAATCTTTTGCACCTAAACAAATAAAATTGGTTATTAAAGCCTGAATTTTATGGACTCAGCCATCAAAAGTTTCAAAAAGTGAATAAAAGATGTCATATATATGTCATATATACCAATTAGGTGTGTAATCAAGAAATTTTATTTTGAGGAAATTGCAAATTAGTGTTAAAAAAGTGAAATTAATTGCAAAAATATAGTGCAAGTGGAGTATGTGCTCTAGTGCAAATAAGGCCACAGTTTTCACTTGCACCAAAGCACAAGAACACTTGCATCTCCATACTCAATGATTTACAAATCTCCCAAATTTTCTTCCATAGTAATTGTCCTTCAAAACTGCTCATATGGACATGGGCAACATCTTTAAAAACAAAAAAGAACTCAACATTTGCAACCAATATTTTAGTTATTCATTCAACAATATTCTCAAGCAACTCTTGTACAAGCATGACATGATACTACCACCAAATTAGCGGTTGTGCTTGCTTTTAAATTTGAAGAGAGCTTCAAATGCCAGTAGGAAAATATAGTGCTCTTTTTTAGCTATGATCAAGATCAAGATCAAGATAAAGACAACTGAACCAACTTGATAATTTGGCATTATTGCCACAAAGAAGAGCTTTCTCAATTTTCTTACACCATAGAAAAGATTGAATCAAAGATTAAGAAGTTTCAAACGTTCAGTTACATATCCATTGGAACTAGTATTTGAGTGTTTTTTTGCTTGGGCTGTATGAGGTGGAATTCTCATATACAGTTCTAAGAGTGGGTGTCTAACCTATCTCAAATAAAGAAGTGTGAACATACAGTGCTCATTGAAGCTGCAGCAATGCTTTCTCAGAGCTGGACTTCCACATCAACCCCAGCAGGAAGGTCAAGCTACATCAAGAAATCAATCGTTTGGGCAGTCGGGTATAGAATATCAATGAGGTGCTGATGAGTTCTGATCTCAAAATGGAACCTGGCATCTTTGTGGACGTGAGGAGATTTAAGTACACAATAAATTCCCTTCTTGGTTGGTGACGGCACAGGATGCATGGTCTTTGCATTGGTAGTCCTTGCAGCATCCATTATTTGCTTGCATGAATCCTCTATCAGTCACACCCAATATGACCTAAGTTTAATCCTAATTTTCTGCTTCGGTGCCATCTGAGAATGGGCAAAAAACATAATAAGACGACCGGAATGTCACTAAAACTACCGAATATTAAGAAAAAAATCTAAGAGATATATCTAATCGAAAATTTAGTTTCATTTAGTCTTGAACGATTTATGTCACGACCCCAAACCGCCCCTAGTAGTTTGGTGCCGTGATGGCCAGTAATCCGAGGTTACCGAAGGCCAATCTTACAAAATTCACACACATACAGAGTATAGATACATGGGGCTCTCAAGTGCGGAAGCAAAATTTAGAATACAAGTGGTCCATAAGAGCTGTGTATAAGTCAAATGAGATAGCAACCATTCACATATGGGTTATGACTTAATAACAAACAAGCAAAGTGCAAGTCATATTTTTCGTATTAGCAAAGGGCTCCACAAGCCGACATAAACAAATTGTACGAATTACAGGTTTAAATACACAGTCTGCCAGGTTGCCGACATCTTCTTTGCCGACATAACAATCATACAAAAACATGCATCTTGATCAAAACGCTTCTCAGCCGACGTGTTCGAAATACAAATATTACAAGTCGAGAAGCATGATTTTCAAGACTGCCGACATAAATGCAAGTTAAGCCGACATAAACAAGACCCAAAACAAGCTCCAGAAATCACATCTAGGCGTCACCGCCTTCTTGTTCATCACCTACATATATATAGAGAGGGTGAGCTTGGATACTCAATGAATGGTATAATAATAAAGGGGTTTGCATGAATAATAGCCGAAATCCTTTCAAAACAGTACAAGACAAAACTCTATATATATATAACAAGGAATGGACCTCGTCCATCTAACAAATCTTCACAGTTTCCAGAGATACGTATTAGCATCACATATTACAAATAATAACATTTCGGCAAATATGTCCACGCGGTAAACCGTCCGTGGCAAAGCAAGACAAAGCAAGATAGGCATTTCAAACGAGGGTGCTACAAAAGTTTAGAGTCCTCTAGCACAAGGGACTTTCAAGACAAGATGTGTTGCGAAAGTTTAGAGTCCTCCAGCATAAGGAACCTATGTTACAAAGGCCCGTAGCCCTCTAACACTAGAGTACAAATCAAGGGTACTGCGAAAGTTTAGAGTCTTCCAGTACAAGGGACTTTCAAAACAAGATGTGCTGCGAAAGTTTAGAGTCCTCCAGCATAAGGGACTTTCCGAGAAGGTCGTTCAAACAAATATAATACGAGATACGAAGCTAAGGACAATCATTCATGCTTAACAAATATCTTTCAAGACAAGCAAAGCAAAGTTTTTCAAAACATTGATAACATAACTTTATCAGAAATACCACTCACCTTGTTCTTCAAACGTCGGGGTCAGGGCAAGTCCAAGTCCTGACAAACACATGGCAAGGTCTATTGAATGCACTACTCAAAACAAATCTATCACACGTGCAAATGACTCGGCGTTCTTCAAAAACTAAGTCAAATCGAATCAAAACACAGTTTCTCATTCTGGAAAACACGCTGGGTAGTTACCAGGTCTGGGCCAAGGTCCCACACCTCCTTGCCGAGGTGTAGCCTCGATGGCCACATTCAAAAGTGAAGTCGGGAAAAATCTGGTTTCCCTCTTGATAAACATGAAGAACATGACCATGAAGAACTTGAAGAACATGGACATGAGGAAGATGAATGCAAAGATCAAAACTTGCTATACAAAAGTTGAGATTTCATGCTATAACTACAAAAACGTGGACCTGGGTACCCACACTCAAGGATCTTATCAAAACAAACACAAATGCATGAGCTTCGATGCAAACTTTCGGATCAAACGAGGCTTTTCTTCAAAAACACATGAAACCGTTTTCTCTTTCTAAAACTAACTTTAAATCGATGAATGGTGTGTAGAACAGGTTTGATCGCACAATGCAGCTAGATGATGAATAAGAACAACAAGAATAGGTTAAGATTCTAACCTCAAAACTCGAATCTAACGGCTTAAGCTCTAACGATCAAGCTTGGAAGTCGCCTTTTCTAGCTCAAACTTCTCTTCCTTCTAACTAGAGTTTTTCTCTCTAAAAAGGCAAGGTTGATACAAAATGATATGCCTCACACGCCAATCACTGACTTAATCCCTTTGCCGGGACACATGGCATCGACTGATTCGCTCAACTCAAAAAGGTGACTGACTTGACAAGACAAGACCAAGACAAAGCGTACTCAGCAAGTTAGGCGACACGAATACACCAGCAAGTAACGACATCGGCTAGCAACAAGACTCCGGCAATCAAGGGGCAAGGACATCGGCTTGAAAGGACAACACTTGACTAAACTGTGCCACACCCTGGCCTAGGTGTGCCACACCTCGGTCTAGGTCATACCATTCCAGGAACAAAATCACTCATGCAAGGATCAAGGATCTAGAACGCCTAGATATTAACATCTCGGCCCAGATGATGCACATCTCGGCCTAGGCAACGCAAACCTCGGCCCAGATGGTGACATCTCGGCCAATATGCCAGGGCGAAGATGGAGGTCAACCAACGGGGTTCCAAGATAGTTCTAAGTGACCAAGGTCTCGAAGGTGTCTAGGCTTAAGATGGCCTCGGCAACGTACCAGATGAGAACAAAACATGCAAGTAATCATTCAAGCAAAACAAGGCAAGATTGCAATCGCACATATTAAAACAAGATCATCCATAAATGTATGCAAGTATGACTAAGTCAAAATGAGGGTTGTTACAATTTACATGGACTTCAAAGATATTTGACTAAACAGATCGCCATCAAAAGCTTAAATTAAACAATTGACACTTATCCAATGCAAGACTATTTTAATGACTAGTTATTCTTTTTCAAAAGATTATCATATTGGATTTGTGGAGCCTAATTAGTATTGTACACCTCACCATGAAGTTGTGAATCCAACTTGGCAGTTAGTTGGTGGAGGGTTTGCAGGCGGCAGCCAGCCCGAAGGTGGGAGTTTTTGGGCTGTGAACCCTAACATATACATTGTTGTTTAAACAAGCAACCAATCTGTACTCTTTTCTTTTCTTTTTTCAATATAGCGAAACTAGTGTTACTAATCTTGCCGAACCACGTATCTATATATGTAATGCTTTTTTTATTTGTAATTGATTCTTCTTGCTATTGTGTATTTGTTTAATTCCTCAACATATCACCATTCTTCTATTCTTATCAAATGTAAAAACATGTGTAATCTATTTTTCATAAAATTTGAGAGACAAATGTCATTTAGAGCAAGAATCACAATCCCATTGCAAATGGTTGTGAAGCTTTTACCACCCAAATGGTTGTTTTGGGATCTATTTCTACATAAAAACATAATGTCATTCTTCCTTTCAACTTTTCTCAGCAACCAAACAGAGCATAAAGGGGAAAAGATTACCTTCTCAGCATCGGCCCCAATACTGAGCGGCGACGAACCAGAAACCACCAATCCTCCAACCTGAACATCCCCAAATTAACATTAATCTCCTCAAATTCAGAGAAACATAGAGTATTTCATGACACTAAATTAGAAGAATTACAAACCTCAGGCGCAGAAGAGTCAGGACCATCTATGGTTTCTTGGGAATCCAAGACTTCAGGTGCAGCAAAAACCCTAATAGTAGATGATCGAGAGGGTTTTAGGGCTTTTAGCGGTGTATCAGTTGAGGGCAAAGAGAGAAGAGAAAGCTTAGGCTTGACAGCAATGGCGGAGAAATTGGATGATGATGGTGATACATTAGATTTTTATTTTAATTTTAAAATATGTAGTAATATTTTATCTTATTTTTATTAGTAGTGTATATGAAATTAATGTTGTTATCTAATTTATATTGGAATAGTATATATGAAATTAATGTTGTTATCTAATTTATATTGAAATTCATATTTTCACTTTTATGTTTACGTACCCTATGCATTATTTCTCTTAGTTTTAATCCTATTAAAATAGAGGTTGTGTAATAATGCTAAACTTGTGGTATTTATTATATTTTTTTCTAAATTTAAGAGTGGTTAATGTAATTTATAAAAAATAAAAAAATAAATTGAATATTATATGTTCTAGACAATATTTTTTTTTAACAAAAATGCTATAAATCTTAGTAAATTTTTTATCAAATATTCTCATGAATATAAGTCTCACACACTCATGTAAGTATTTTGTAAAAAAATTTATAAACATTGCTTTTTTTTAAGAACAATGATTCATCCCCCATTTTCTTCTCACCCCCTTTGACCCCCTCTCTCTCTTATTGGTTATATTTTCTTTTTCTTTTTCTTTTTTTTCCTGCTCCTCCATTCACCACCCGCCACGTGACAAAGGGGGTGAGAGGGTGACCCCCAAAAGGGGGTCCCAAGCATTATTCTTTTTTTAATGGCGGTGTTTAGCTTGGCATGTCTTGCAAAATATTTTCTAGTCAAAATAATTATTTTTTTCACATTTGATTTTTGTCATATATACAGAAAATAATGTCTTTTGCTTAAATAAATAAAATGTATCCAAAATTCGAGAAGAAAAATCTCACCAGATTCAATGCCGCACTAAAATTTTAAACATGTATATAAGAATTTGGACAAATTTCATCTACAGTTTCTATAATTTGTTTATTATGTTAATTTAATTTTTATAATTTGTATAGCTTAAATTTTCTTTTTAAAATTTTCATGATTTGTTAGTTTAGTCTAATTGATAAATTATGTTTAGAAATTAGATTGAAATAAAGAGACAACATATTTTATTTACTCATTTCAAAGCTGTTAAGCCGTAATCCAATTTGAAATTATTCATTCTCTTTTAAATATACCATTTTACTCTTAGTTTCTGTTTATTTTCTTAAAGGAATATTATCTGTGGGGATGTATTTTCAGAATACCAACACGTGGCAAGGTGACGCCAACGTGTCAGCCGAGGTGCCACGTGTCCTGGTTGTGACGCCGAGGTTACCTCGGCAAGGCCGAAGTTATCTCCGAAGATATCGGAATCCGAGATAAGAGGATAAAAGATAAGGGACAAGAGTCTTGGGATAAAGAGGAGACTTTAGTTAGGATGAGGATAAAACTCTTTGGGAGTTTATCTTTATCTCTTGTGAAATCCAAAGTTAGCACTGAATAGGAGTCCATAGAAGTCAGGCTTATAGTAGGACTGGAATTGAGTTAACTATAAAAGAGAGGCACCCCTGTGGGTCTAAGGTACACAGTTTTATGCTTTGAGTAGTAAGTTTAGCACTTGAATATCTTTGAGAGATATACTGACTTGATCGTCGGAGTGCCTCCGGGTGGAAGAGCCACCGCCGGAGTCTTTTCTTTCTGTTACAGGTTAGTTGAAGCCATCTATTCTGCCGGTACTCCAGCTGATTACTAGGCGGGCAGTGTGGTCAAAAAATCACCCACACAATTTGGCGCCGTCTGTGGGAAACTTAGAAGAATAGATGGCCAGTAACGTACATAAGGAAAACATTGGAGGCGGCACTCCTGCTAGGAGTGGCAGACCAATTGACCTTGACATTGAAGGGGACAACCAGAATGCAGAAACTCATGGCCAGGGCCACGGAGAGAAAGACGTCGGCCAGGAGGGCGACACTTCAAAGAGGCCAGACCAAAGCAAGTACTATAATGAAGATAACCTTCAGGTATGGAGGGATAGGTGCCTACGGAGGGATGAGGAAGTAAAAGAATTAGCAAACAAGTTGGCAGACCTACAGTCGGTCGTCAACTTCATGATGCAAAATAATGTCATGCAGCCACTATACCCGCTGCAGGATACGCCGATGCCAGCAACTAATACCCAGAAGGGAGGAGGAAGAACAATCCCCGAAGCCCCTCAGCAAACCAGGAGTAGAAGGCACTCTCACCGAACTTCTAGGGAAGTCGGACGAGAGGAGCCGAGACGAGAGGAGTCCCGAAGGACGTATCACACGAAGGACCCAGAGCCCAAAGAACATTGGCATATTCAAAGGCAGGCGCTCTGCTTTGACACAACACATGAAGAGAGATCAAAACGATCCCACCACGAGGCCGAAAGTAGTGTACCAAAGAGATTGAAGTCCAGAGATAGCCGAGCTCCAGGGAGAAGCAAAAAAGACTTGAGAGATTATCTCAAGAGGAAACAACAGAATGCTGAAGCCGAGGTAACATTCCTGGTTAAGCCGAGGACGCCATTCTCGGTGGAACTAGACAAGTTTCAAGCACCAAAGAGGTTCAATATGCCGAGATTCCAAATATATGATGGTAAGTCGGATCCCAACTTTCACGTTGGCCTATACCTAAATTCAATGGCGTTGTATAGTGGGAACGAGCCGTTGCTCTGCAAAGTATTCCCCTCATCCTTCGGGGAAATTGCATCAGATTGGTTCCCATAAACTACCGAAGGGGAAGCGTAAAGACTTGGGAGGGCCTGGCCGAGATTGTTCGTGGCCAGGTGTGAAAATAAATTTAGCCCTTGAGGGTCGACGCATAATGGTTTTAAAAATCGCCAAGGATGAAGGCCTTAGGGCCTACGCAAAAAAGATACTACAGGGTGTTCAATCGAATACTGATTGCAACAAGAGTGGCGGTCGTGTCCTTCAAGAACGGCCTGAAAGATGACTGCCCACTACGGAAGTCTTTGGCAAAGACATTGCCAAAAAGCATGGAAGAACTTATGGCGAGAATAGAGAAGTACGCCAGAGCCGAGGAGGATACGTCGGGAAATAAAGAAACAAAGCAGGAGAAAGGAAACGGCTCGCCGAAGCGAAACCGAGGTGACAACGGACCGACCAAACAAGAAACGAACTTGAAGGCGAAACAGACAGTAACGACTATATTCCGAGTCCCGATCCACAAAGTCTTGGATCAAATACGAAACCAACCCTATTTTAGAGGACCGACAAGACACCAGGGGAATTTATGGAAAGAAACGTCGGTAGGCGTTGTTCTTACCACAATGAAGAAGGGCATCCAACTTAGGGCTGCAGAGCCCTAAAAGCACACTTAGAAGACTTGGTAAGGCAAGGACATCTGAGGGACCTTGTTGATGAGGCCAGGACTAGAGAAGAACAGGCAAGATTGCCTCAAGCACCAACAGCTCCGCCTCCCCCAGCTCAACAACCACAGTTAGGAGGACCACGGGTGGTTAACGTAATTCACTCAAAGGTGAACGAAAATGACATACGAGGGGAGACCCAGAAGGTAAAACACCTGCAGCACGTGAACCAGGTTGGACATAAACGACCTCGGCTTGAAGAATGCAAGGGACCGACGATAGCGTTTACTGAAGCCGACCCAGAGACGGTCCAGCATCCCCATAATGATGCCTTGGTAGTATCCCTCTAGGTTGGGGAGTGCCAAGTGAAACGTATCCTGATTGATCAAGGCAGCTCTTGAGACATCATGTACGTTAGATGTTACAAAGAGCTGGGCCTTCATCCTAATGACTTGGAGCAATCAAATGGCCCGATGGTCGGCTTCAATGAAACGCCGACATGGCCACTGGGCGCAACAAGCTTGGAAGTACAAGCTGGCACTAAGAAGATCAGGACAGAATTCATGGTGATTGACACACCTTCACCATATAACATCATCTTGGGAAGGCCATGGTTGCATGCAATGGGGGCAGTTCCCTCAACATTACATCAACTACTGCGGTTCCCAATAGAGCATGGGATTGAAGAAGTCAGAGGAGATCAACTACAGGCAAAGAATTGCTCCATGGCAGCAATGAATTCCATCTGCAACATTCGAGAACCAGAAAAGGCAGAAATTGAAAATAAGGACGTAGAAGTCCTAGAAGACGTCGGCAAAGAACCAGCCGAGAAGAGCGAAGAAATGCTAAAGAAAATCCTTGTCCAGGATGGAGACGAAGAACGCTTCTTTCTTCTCGGCTCAGGCTTAGCCGAAGAAGAGGAAAAAGAGTTGGAGACTTTTTTAAGAGCCAACATTGAGGTGTTCGCCTGGACACCTTACGAAATGCCTGGCATTGACCCCGAGGTCACTTGCCACAAACTGAATGTCAACAGATCGGCAAAACCTGTGATTCAACGAGCCAGAAGACCGACGTTAATGCACGTCGAAGCAGTAGAAGAAGAAGTGGACAGACTTCTGGAGGCCAGGGCCATCCGAGAAGTTCATTACCCGACATGGCTATCCAACACAGTAGTGGTAAAGAAGAAAAACGGTAAATAGAGGGTCTGTGTAGATTTCACAAGCCTAAACAAAGCTTGTCTCAAAGACTGCTTTCCTCTATCCAAAATTGACCAGTTGGTAGACGCCACATCTGGACATGGAAGGATGAGCTTCCTAGACGCTTACAGAGGATACCACTAGATTGCCATGTACCCCCCAGACGAGGAGAAGACAGCGTTTATCACCCCAAAAGGACTGTATTGTTACAAGGTAATGCCCTTTGGGTTGAAAAACGCAGGAGCAACTTACCAAAGGTTGGTAACCAAGATGTTCAAAAATCTGATTGGCCAAACAGTGGAAGTCTACATTGACGACATGGTCGTGAAGACCAAGGATCCAAGGGGTTATCTTGCCGACCTAAAAGAGGTCTTTGAGATACTCAAAACATACCAGCTCTAACTCAACGCATCGAAGCGCGCGTTTGGAGTTGGATCAGGTAAATTTTTGGGGTAACTGGTAACAAGAAAGGGCATTGAGGCCAGCCCAGATCAAATCAAGGCCATCCTAGAGTTGAAAAGCCCAACGTCGGCAAAACAGGTTCAGATGCTTACTGGAAGGGCCGCCGCCCTAAACAGGTTCATCAGCAGAAGCTCAGACAAATGTAAACCCTTCTTCAACCTGGTGAAGAAGGCCACGGACTTCCTATGGACTGAGGAATGCGAGGCCGCTCTGGCCGACCTAAAAAAGTACCTGACCACGGCTCCAGTCCTCTTAACACCTGAATCTAAGGAAGAACTGTTTTTGTATTTGGCAGTTTCAGAACATGCAGTAAGTGCAGTGCTAATCCGAGAGAAAAATGGGGAGCAAAAGGCTGTTTACTATGTAAGCAAAACCTTGGTCGATGCAGAAACAAGGTACCTACCACTAGAGAAATTAATGCTAGCCTTAGTAATGGCTTCAAAGAAGGTGAGCCATTACTTTCAAGCGCACAAGATTATAGTGCTGACAGAACACCCACTGAAGTCCTTGTTACAACAAGGAGACTTAACTGGAAAAATAGCAAGATGGGCTGTGGCCTTGGGCCAATATGACCTGGAGTTCAGGCCGAGAACAGCAATTAAAGGCCAAGTTTTGGCTGACTTCGTGGCCGAATTCATGCAAGAATCCATCAAACATCAGGCTCCGTTGAGCCAAGATGAACAATGTCCAAGCAAACAAGGAGAAGCCCAGCCAAAGGCAAAATAACAGGAAAAACTCAGACCCTGCAGCATTTACATCGGTGACTCCTTTCGCCTGTTTGTCGATGGGAGTTCAAACCGGCAAGGAGCAAGGGCAGGAGTGGTGTTGATATCTCCTGATGGGGAGATATTAGAACAGTCTATTTGATTGGGGTTCAAGGCCTCAAACAATGAGGCAGAATACGAAGCACTGATTGCAGGACTAAAGCTAGCAATAGCAGCAGAAGTAGATGAGATAATAATTTTTTGTAATTCACAACTTATAGTAAATCAAACAACAGGAGAGTTTGCAATCCAAGATGAGAGGATGTCGACATACGCAAAAGAAGTCATCAGGCTGGCAGCCTTGTTTCGCAATTGCTGACTTCTTCAAGTCAGCCGAGATGATAACAACCATGCCGACACGTTGGCCAACTTGGCAAGCTCAATACAAACTGAAAAAACAAGAACAATAATGATTGACTATCTGTCAAGCCTGAGCATGGAACAACCGATCACAGAGCAAGAAGCAATGTGTGTGGACTTGGGTCCAAGCTGGATGGATGCAATTGCTATATTCCTAAAAGAGGAAAAACTACCAGGAGACCATAAGGAGGCACACAAGGTCAGATTGAAGTCGGCAAGATTCAGTCTGATAGCGGACGAACGTCTCTACAGAAGGTCCTTTACTGGACCCCTTTTAAGGTGCGTATACCCTTTGCAGGTTGAAAATTTTCTATACGAAATTCATGAAGGGATTTGTGGAAGCCACGTTGGAGGCAGATCGCTAGCTCATAGGGCCATTACCCAGGGGTATTGGTGGCCCTACATGCAAAAAGATGCCGAAGCATATGTGAAGAAGTGTGAACAATGCCAGAGGTTTGCACCTTTGATACACCAGCCGGCTGCTGACCAGAACCCTGTATCCAGTCCTTGGCCATTTGCCCAATGGGGCATGGATCTCGTTGGGCAATTGCCTCAAGCAACTGGACAAAGAAAGTACTTGCTGGTAGCAACAGACTACTTCACGAAGTGGATAGAAGCAGAACCTCTTGCCAAAATTCGAGATGTGGACGTCAAGAACTTCATATGGAGAAACATCATCACCAGATTTGGCATTCCAAGAGCAATAGTTGCCGACAACGGAACGCAGTTTGACAGCAAACTCATCAAGAACTTCTGTGCAAAATTCAAGATAAAAAATTACTTTTCAACACCAAGTTTTTCCCAAAGCAATGGGCAAGCAGAAACATCCAACAAAGTAATTTTGGATGGGATAAAGAAGAGGCTGCAAGCAGCAAAAAGAAAGTGGGTGGACGAGTTGCCCAATGTACTCTGGGCATATCGGACTACGCCGAGAAGATCAATAGGAGAAACCCCATTTGCCATGGCTTACGGCACAGAAGCAGTTATCCCACTGGAGATCGGCATCCCAGGGATCAGAACCCAGGGAGTAGAGAATGGGACTAATGACATACTTCTAGCCCAAGATTTAGATCTCTTAGAAGAAAGAAGAGAGAAAGCTGCAATTCAGCTCGCAACATACCAGCAGCAGCTTGCTAGAGCTTACAATAAGAAGGTTAATCCAATGGATTTTCAGGTCGGCGACCTAGTCCTAAGAAAAGTTGTTGGCAGCAAGAAGGACCCCAGAGAAGGCAAGCTTGGACCAAACTGGGAAGGACCCTACAGAATCACTTCGGTATTGGGCAATGGAGCATATCGACTTGAAGACAGTGAGGGCAAAGCATTGCCAAAACCTTGGAACACTTGTAATTTGAAATATTTCTATCATTAGATGTCCCTTGTTATTTTTTACCGACATCAATAAAATTTTAGCAGAATTCTCCAAAAGACTTGTGAATTGATAAAAGATACATAATGATTGTTTCTGAATAATGAGAACCCAAGTGGAACTCAGGTTCACATTGGGGGCAAAGAGAAGACAGTAATACTTAACGCTTGTTGAAATTTGTAGCAATTTACAAGTTGAAGTTAAGCTGAGATAATTGTTTATCTTCACTTGTTGAAATTTATAGCAATTTACAAGTTAAAGTTAAACCGAAGTAATGCTTAACGCTTGTTGAAATTTGTAACAATTTACAAGTTGAAGTTAAGCCGAGATAATTGTTTATCTTCACTTGTTGAAATTTCTAGCAATTTACAAGTTGAAGTTAAATCGAAGTAATGCTTAACGCTTGTTGAAATTTGTAGCAATTTACAAGTTGAAGTTAAGCCGAGATGATTGTTTATCTTCACTTGTTGAAATTTGTAGCAATTTACAAGTTGAAATTAAGCCAATATATTGCTTAGCATTTGTTATAACTTGAGAAAAATTTATAACCATTATATGTTTATCTTTGTTGAAACTTATAAGCAATTTACAGGACAAATACTTGCCAAGATAAATTATGGGGTGGCATAACCGAGGTATGTTACCCCGAGAAGATTGCACAAAGAAGAAAGAGTACATACGATATATGCAGAATATTCTAAGTATAGAATCATACGAAGACAAAGAAGAAAAGACAGGATTACAAGCATTCAATAAAAGAGAAAAGTTGCATTAACATTCAAAGTAAAAAGGAGGGCACATCGGCCATACAAAGAACATACATCCTTCCCTAAGATAAAGAAGCAAGAAAATACAAGAAAGAAGAAGACTTAAAGCTAAAGCTCCTCCTCTCCAGATTGTTAAAATTGAAGATCAGATACCACCTCGGCCTCCTTCTCTGCCGCTATCTCGGCGTCAATTTCTTGGAGAGTTTCTTCAACAGTCTTGACCTCAGAAGGGATGTCGGCTGGTGCGATGTCGGGAATAGCTTCTTGGATAACCTCATCACCTTCCTCATCCTGAGTCAAGTCTAAGACTTGTTCATTCTGAGGAGGGGACTTGGCCCCATCAGCATCTTTTGACTTTCTGACCAAAGCCTCATCCTCTTCCTCATCGGCATCCTCAGACTCGGATTCGCCGATGTCCTGACTTGAGGGTTGGGCTAGAGGGAAAGGAAGAGGAATATTGTCGGCATTTCTCAGAGGCGAATCCTCAGGGACATTCAGTTTTTTCAGAAGAGACATCCAACTAAGGGTGAAACCCTTGTTGCATGCCTGCTTTACTTGAAGTTCATAGGCCTCAGTAACGTCGGCCATGCCTTGATTATACGCCTTTTCATCAGCGTCTTTGATTTCAGCTTCTTTGGTGGCCAGGGCCTCCTGAAGGTCTTTCTCAACTTGGGCCATTTTTTCCTCGGCCTCTCTCCTTTGAGACTCAGTCACCTTTCTGATAGCCTCAGCCGCCTCAGCTGCCTCAGCCTTCTCTTCGGCATTATTCTGAGCTTTAATTGCAGCTTCGGCTTGATCCTCCAGCTTCTTCATTTTTGATTCAAGGCCCTTATTGATCTTTTGAATAGAAGAGAACTCCCTCTTCATGTTGACCAGCCTTTGCCAATTCTCAAAGGACTGCATTGAGAAAGAGTGGGCATGCTGTATGGCCTGAAAGAAAATAGAGGTATTAGAAAAAATTTAAAGTATGAAAGAGGAAAATTACCAATTAGAAGACATTTACCTGAACAGAGTGTTGAAGCATTAGGGCGTAATTTTCATACTCGCTAAAACCAACATTACGCTCCAAGTCCCCTGGTAGAAGCAGAGCTGTACTGAGTGCTACGCCGACATTTATATTATCGGCACTGTCAGTGGACAGGACTGGCTTGTCCTCCAGAGTAATTTTTGGAGTCCAAGGGGCGCCGCTCTGTTTGGACCCCGAAGTCATCGCAGAAGAAGACCTCAGCTTTTTGGATTTTGGGGATTTTGATGGCTGTGTTTCAGAGCGCCTCTTCCCAGCAGAGGGTTGAGGTTTGTCGCTCTCAGCCAACTTTGATATAGGCAAAGCATCCTCAGACTCAGTCTGAGTAACTTTAGCCTTGGTTGGACCTTCTTAACTCTTTTTGGCTTAGGTGGAGGAAGGGTTTGTACTGGCTGCTCATCAACAAATGATGGAATACTGGCCAGAAGATCTTTTACAATTGGCTTAGGGCGACCCATCTCGGCAGTAAGGACAAGTCGTCGCCGACATTTTCGCTCTGATATGGGGACCAGGTATGGAGCCGAAGTGGATGGCTGGTCAGCTGGATCAGATATTGATCCTTGATCTGTTCGTGATGTAGATGCAGTCAACGGGGTTGTAGCAGAGGGTGGAGAAAGGCTTTTCTTCTTCCTTTTGGGAACGTCGGGCAAGGTTGACTTATAAGTTGGGATAAAATTGAGGAGCAGAGGCGCCTTTCTTTTGTGGATTGGCAAGTCCAAAAGTTTCTTCAAATCCTTACTGGGAATAAAAGATTGATGAAAATTTTTCGGTGGCTGACGAACAGCTGAAAAGAAGAACAGACGTCAGAAACAGACAAAGTATTTAAGATTTCGAAAGAAAACAGGCAAAGCTGAATATTGGGCTTTTACCCTTGCCCTCTAAAACTGAACGAGGAAGAGGGTAGAGATGGATGTCCTCGTTTATTGACAGTTACAGAAATGTAATATGCTATGCAACATAGGCCATGGATAAAGCATAATATCCCTCCAATAGATAGAAGATGATGATGCAGTATCCCACATGATTCTCTTGATTTTGAATTTGCCAACGTCCCAATAATCAGCATAGGAAATCCAACGGCCGCCGTAAACCTAATTACACGATCAACGTTTCACTTTGGTTTTCAAAATTATGGAAGCTTTCAACAATGTCGTCAGATTACACTAATTATTTCAAAGTATGCCATCTATTACACTTTATTATCAAATCTTTTGATTTTTCTACTATCCTCAATATATGTGATTTGTCACTCTTTAATTTTTGATGTCAACGAGGTGAAAGTAATTTCGAAATCTTATAGTGGCCTTGGGCCAGTACGACCTGGGGTTATTTAACTAAGAAGTAATTAAGGGCCAAGTTTTGGCCGACTTCGTGGCCGAATTCACGCAAGAATCCATCAAACATCAGGCTCCGTTGAGCCAAGATGAACAATGTCCAAGCAAACAAGGAGAAGCCCAGCCAAAGGCAAAAGAACAGGAAAAACTCAGACCTTGCAGCATTTACATTGGTGACTCCTTTCGCCTGTTTGTCGATGGGAGTTCAAACCGGCAAGGAGCAAGGGCAGGAGTGGTGTTGATATCTCCTAATGGGGAGATATTAGAACAGTCTATTCGATTGGGGTTCAAGGTCTCAAACAATGAGGCAGAATACGAAGCACTGATTGCAGGACTAAAGCTAGCAATAGCAGCAGAAGTAGATGAGATAATAATTTTTTGTAATTCACAACTTATAGTAAATCAAACAACAGGAGAGTTTGCAACCCAAGATGAGAGGATGTCGACATACGCAAAGGAAGTCGTCAGGCTGGCAGCCTTGTTTCGCAATTGCCGACTTCTTCAAGTCAGCCGAGATGATAACAACCATGCCGACGCGTTGGCCAACTTGGCAAGCTCAATACAAACTGAAAAAACAAGAACAATAATGATTGACTATCTGTCAAGCCCGAGCATGGAACAGCCGATCACAGAGCAAGAAGCAATGTGTGTGGACTTGGGTCCAAGCTGGATGGATGCAATTGCTGCATTCCTGAAAGAGGGAAAAATACCAGGAGACCATAAGGAGGCACACAAGGTCAGATTGAAGTCGGCAAGATTCGGTATGACAGCGGACGAACGTCTCTACAGAAGGTCCTTCACTGGACCCCTTTTAAGGTGCGTACACCCTTTGCAGGTTGAAAATTTTATGTACGAAATTCATGAAGGGATTTGTGGAAGCCACGCTGGGGGCAGATCGCTAGCTCACAGGGCCATTACCCAGGGGTATTGGTGGCCCTACATGCAACAAGATGCCGAAGCATATGTGAAGAAGTGTGAACAATGCCAGAGGTTTGCACCTTTGATACACCAGCCAGCTGCTGACCTAAATCATGTATCCAGTCCTTGGCCATTTGCCCAATAGGGCATGGATCTCGTTGGGCAATTGCCCCAAGCAACTGGACAAAGAAAGTACTTGCTGGTAGCAACAGACTACTTCACGAAGTGGATAGAAGCAGAACCTCTTGCCAAAATTCGAGATGTGGACGTTAAGAACTTCATATGGAGAAACATCATCACCAGATTTGGCATTCCAAGAGCAATAGTTGCCGACAACGGAACGCAGTTTGACAGCAAACTCATCAAGAACTTCTGTGCAAAATTCAAGATAAAAAATTACTTTTCAACACCAAGTTTTTCCCAAAGCAATGGGCAAGCAGAAACATCCAACAAAGTAATTTTGGATGGGATAAAGAAGAGGCTGCAAGCAGCAAAAGGAAAGTGGGTGGACGAGTTGCCCAATGTACTCTGGGCATATCGGACTACGCCGAGAAGATCAATAGGGGAAACCCCCTTTGCCATGGCTTACGGCACAGAAGCAGTTATCCCACTGGAGATCGGCATCCCAGGGATCAGAACCCAGGGAGTAGAGAATGGGACTAATGACATACTTCTAGCCCGAGATTTAGATCTCTTAGAAGAAAGAAGAGAGAAAGCTGCAATTCAGCTCGCAGCATACCAGTAACAGCTTGCTAGAGCTTACAATAAGAAGGTCAATCCAAGGGATTTTCAGGTCGGCGACCTAGTCCTAAAAAAAGTTGTTAGCAGCAAGAAGGACCCCAGAGAAGGCAAACTTGGACCAAACTGGGAAGGACCCTACAGAATCACTTCGGTATTGGGCAATGGAGCATACCGACTTGAAGACAGTGAGGGCAAAGCATTGCCAAAACCTTGAAACACTTGTAATTTGAAATATTTCTATCATTAGATGTCCCTTGTTATTTTTTACCGACATCAATAAAATTTTAGCAGAATTTTCCAAAGACTTGTGAATTGATAAAAGATACACAATGATTGTTTCTGAATAATGAGAACCCAAGTGGAACTCAGGTTCACATTGGGGGCAGAGAGAAGACAGTAATACTTAACGTTTGTTGAAATTTGTAGCAATTTACAAGTTGAAGTTAAGCTGAGATAATTGTTTATCTTCACTTGTTGAAATTTGTAGCAATTTACAAGTTGAAATTAAGCCGAGATGATTGTTTATCTTCACTTGTTGAAATTTGTAGCAATTTATAAGTTGAAGTTAAGCCAATATATTGCTTAGCATTTGTTATAACTTGAGAAAAATTTATAACCATTATATGTTTATCTTTGTTGAAACTTATAAGCAATTTACAGGACAAATACTTGCCAAGATAAATTATGGGGTGGCATAACCGAGGTATGTTACCCCGAGAAGATTGCACAAAGAAGAAAGAGTACATACGATATATGCAGAATATTCTAAGTATAGAATCATACGAAGACAAAGAAGAAAAGACAGGAGTACAAGCATTCAATAAAAGAGAAAAGTTGCATTAACATTCAAAGTAAAAAGGGGGGCACATCGGCCATACAAAGAACATACATCCTTCCCTAAGATAAAGAAGCAAGAAAATACAAGAAAGAAGAAGACTTAAAGCTAAAGCTCCTCCTCTCCAGATTGTTAAAATTGAAGATCAGATACCACCTCGGCCTCCTTCTCTGCCGCTATCTCGGCGTCAATTTCTTGGAGAGTTTCTTCAACAGTCTTGACCTCAGAAGGGATGTCAGCTGGTGCAATGTCGGGAACAACTTCTTGGATAACCTCATAACCTTCCTCATCCTGAGTCAAGTCTAGGACTTGTTCATTCTGAGGAGGGGACTTGGCCCCATCAGCATCTTTTGACTTTCTGACCAAAGCCTCATCCTCTTCCTCATCGGCATCCTCAGACTCGGATTCGCCGATGTCCTGACTTGAGGGTTGGGCTGGAGGGAAAGGAAGAGGAATATTGTCGGCATTTCTCAGAGGCGAATCCTCAGGGACATTCAGTTTTTTCAGAAGAGACATCCAACTAAGGGTGAAACCCTTCTTGCATGCCTGCTTTACTTGAAGTTCATAGGCCTCAGTAACGTCGGCCATGCCTTGATTATACGCCTTTTCATCAGTGTCTTTGATTTCAGCTTCTTTGGTGGCCAGGGCCTCCTGAAGCTCTTTCTCAGCTTGGGCCATTTTTTCCTCGGCCTCTCTCCTTTGAGACTCAGCCACCTTTCTGATAGCCTCAGCCGCCTCAGCCTTCTCTTCGGCATTATTCTGAGCTTTAATTGCAGCTTCAGCTTGATCCTCCAGCTTCTTCATTTTTGATTCAAGGCCCTTATTGATCTTTTGAATAGAAGAGAACTCCCTCTTCATGTCGACCAGCCTTTGCCGATTCTCAAAGGACTGCATTGAGAAAGAGTGGGCATGCTGTATGGCCTGAAAGAAAATAGAGGTATTAGAAAAAAATTTAAAGTATGAAAGAGGAAAATTACCAATTAGAAGACATTTACCTGAACAGAGTGTTGAAGCATTAGGACGTAATTTTCATACTCGCTAAAGCCAGCATTACGCTCCAAGTCCCCTAGCAGAAGCAGAGCTGTACTGAGTGCTACGGCGACATTTATATTATCGGCACTGTCAGTGGACAGGACTAGCTTGTCCTCCAGAGTAATTTTTGGAGTCCAAGGGGCGCCGCTCTATTTGGACCCTGAAGTTGTCGTGGAAGAAGACCTCGGCTTTTTGGATTTTGGGGATTCTGATGGCTGTGTTTTAAAGCGCCTCTTCCCAGCAGAGGGTTGAGGTTTGTCGCTTTTAGCCAACTTTGATATAGGCAAAGCATCCTTAGACTCAGTCTGAGTAACTTTCACCTTCGG